TTACCCTGATAAATTAATCATGAAGTGTGTATGAAAATTTGAAAACAAAATTAGTAACAATATTAGTGATAGTGATAATAATAATAATAGTAACATTAATGACGACGTCCATGTCCATCATGCACAAGATAATTACAACACCAACAATAAGGAATCTAAATCATCAGTAGTAATTCCATACAAAGAAGAAACCTCGAAAACCTTATGCAGAATTCTTAAGAAGGCAGGAATAAAAGTGGCTGGCATTCAAACCCCACGAACTTAATTGGAAACAAGCTTTATCGACTAAAGGATCCTGTGGAGCCTTTAAAACAAAACAATTTAGTTTATCTAATATCCTACAATGATCGTCAGGTCAAATACATAGGTCAAAGTAGTAGAACAGGGACAGTCAAACTGGTCGAGCATGTAAACCTAACAAAATCTAGATTAGTTGACCCGAATAAGATAAGAAATCTAGAGAATAGCACTATATGCAGTTACACACAACCATACAATAGGATGGGATAGGATAAGATGACAGTTTTAAAATCTAATGTCACAGGGTGGAGGGAGAGATTGATAACGAGAGCTTTATATATCTAATAAACTGCAAACGCCTGTAATAGGAATGATTCAACACCTATCCCAGACATCTGGAAAATTCTACTACCACCCCTAAGACAAATGGGAGAGAATAAAGAAAACTATGAAACTCACGTTTTGAAGTCGTGTGGTTATAATTGAAGAAGTCCCATCGGGTTGGTGTAAGTCACTGATTATCCCCATATACAAGAAGGGAGACAAGTCTTCCTGTGATAATCACAGAGGGATTAGCTTGACTAATATAGTATCTAAAGTCTTAGGCTCAATAGTCATGCGTAGACTAAGTGGTGCTCGGGAGACACAAACACGAGAGAGCCAGGCAGGCTTTAGACCAGGAAGAGGGTGTATTGATCATATCTTCACCCTCCGACAGATTCTAGAACATAGGGATTCCTACCGGCGTCCAACAGTCATTATATTTCTTGACCTAAAGGCAGCATTCGACTCTGTCGATCGGGAAGTTCTCTGGAGATGCTTGGCTGTAAAGGGAATGCCGAGAAAATATATTGCACTGAATAAGGCACTCTACTCGTACTCATACAGCCAGGTGAGGGCTTACGGCGAGCTGTCATCTGAACTGGTGACGACCAGTGGTGTCCGTCAAGGATGCCCATTATCCCCTTTTCTATTCAACTTCATCATAGATGTGTTAATGGACTTAACCCTAAGTGACTTCAGCGATTCAGGGATTGACTTGCTACCTGGGAATAATCTCGTTGACTTAGAATATGCAGACGATATAGTCCTTCTAGGCGAGGACGCTGACGAAATGCAGAGTCTTCTAAACACCTTGAGCTGCAATCTACGAATGTTTGGCATGCGATTCGCTCCCGCCAAATGCAAGATGATGTTACAGGACTGGACTACATCGACGCCTAGTTTAAAAATAGGAAGTAAAGTGGTAGAGCACGTTGACCGCTTCACTTATTTGGGAAGTACCATCAGCCAGTGCCAACGGGTTGATCTCTGACGAAATCTCAGCACGAATACAAGGGGCTCGTTTCGCACTTGTTAGTTTACGCCGACTCTGGCGTAGACGAGATGTTCGACTATCGACCAAAGGGCGGGTGTACTGCTCATCAGTCCGCTCCGTCCTCCTTTATGGTTGTGAGACCTGGCCACTGAGAGTGGAAGACATGAAAAGACTAGCTGTCTTTGATCATAGGTGCCTGCGCTCTATTTCCCGTGTAAAGTGGCATAATAAGGTGAACAACATTGAAGTTAGGCGTAGAGTTCTAGGTAAACAGGGGAAATCAATCGACGAAGTCGTGAAGTTACAAAGACTGAGATGGTTAGGACATGTGTCACGTAGGCCAAGTCATCGCCTCCCTCGACGAGCAACGTTAGCTGATATAGGGTCAGGTTGGACAAAAGCTAGCGGTGGTCAAACAAAAACTTGGCACCAGTCAATGAAATCCACAACAGTTAGTCTAAGCCACGTAGGAAGGTATAGACTTCCAGGCTGGGGTCCTCGGGACGGCAAAAATCTATGGTTGGAAACAATTGGTGACATGGCTCAAAATCGTTCTCAGTGGCGCAGATGCATCCACTCCTTGTGACTTATGATCTCCAATGAAACTGTTTTGTTTTTCTTTATTACTCCTTTGTCTCACACCTCTACTCACTGTTTCTATTATGCTTTTCTTGTACTTTCTTCTCTTACTTCGCGTGCTACACGGAGTGTGGTGACTTGAACTGCCGCACATTTGTGCAAAGTTCTATGTCGAAAACAGACAGATTATAATTGATATGATTGTGCGACAATAAGTTGTGTTCGAAACGTCATCCAGAAAAATAATACTGTTTCACACTCTGTATGATATATCTAATAAACAAACTAATATTGAATTGCTTGCTACCGCAGTGCGTCGGTGGCACAGTGGTTAGGACTCTCGCCGACCATGCACATGGTCCGGGGTTCGAGCCCACGCTGGCGCACACCTGATATCTATGGTCGGCCTGCAAAATTTGGGCTACCGATATCCATGCTGAAAATTCCATACTTAAACCAAAAATACAGTGTGGAAACAAGCTGTAAATCAAAAAAATAAAATAAAATATATTAAGGCTTTGCTTGGTACACAAGCTAATTTTAGTAAGTATTTGACTGAGTTATTACTTAGTAAACTGAATTGTCTGACTGAGTTTCAATGTAGAATGCTTCTCAGAAGTACAGCAGTTCAAGTTGCTGTATTCCATGTAACACATAAAGGTTAAGAAAAGGGAAAAAAGAATAAGAAGGACTGCAGTGAGTAGAAATGCGCTACGGGGGGATTTGAAACATGATGGTTTAATGGATATAAGAGATTACAAAGAGTGAAGGCATCTGAAGCACTGAGACAGATTTTGAGCCATGTTACCAATAGTCTGCAGCCATTGGTCTTCAGCATCCCAAGAACCTTAACCAGACAGTCTACATCTCCTTATGTGGCTCAAACTAATTATCAGAAACTTCATGGATTGATGTCAGGTTAGGGTTTCATCACCCTAACTGTTTACCAACGTAAACTTACGTCATCTAACACACTGCTTGTCAAGGAAGACAGTGGTTCGGTGTACACAACATGTGCCTTAGCTGCCTCAATCGATGTAGCTTCATAACATCATTGAATCATTTTTACTTCTTACTTAAAACACCACGCTTAACGTCTATATATCTCACAGTATTATACCACTAAACATGGGGAATAGAAAGCAAACATCTGTGGTCAGGTACAGTCAGCCCTTTCATATCTTCTATTCTCAATGTTCATATCACATCCGTAAAAGAGGACAGAGCGAACTGGTGCGCAGTACACATGTCTTTTGATCGATAACCGGATATCAGAGATGACATAAGTTGGCAAATGCACGCGAGCTTTTTGTATCTGTACTGAGATTCCATCAGCAATCAGTTCATTAAGGCTGATGCAACCTCCAAATTGAGTGAACTGAATTGTGCATGATATTCGTTGGGTTTTGCATGAAGACCTAGTGTTTAGACGGCAGTGACTGCTTTCCAGAACTCTTACGTGAATAAAAATAATAATAACAATAATAAGTGTAGACTTATTGAATCCCTGCCTATTCTTACTATAATTTAAGTCAGCTTTTTTAAAATCATTGATTAAGTATGAATAGTTTTGGAATTAGTTGTGTTCTCTGAGCTGGTTGGTTTAATTGCAAAGCTTTCCGCATCCTTCTGGACAACATCTTCAGCGCAAGTTTTAGCATAAAATGAACTCATTTGAATTCTCCACGAATGATAGAATTATGTTTCCTGGTAACCATCTTCGTGACTGGTAGTCGATTTACATATGTGTTGATCACTTTTTATTGACTTGGAATTTGAATTTCCTTGTCACGTGATTTACTGTCTATTAGTTGGTAAATTTAGTCTATATTAACATGTTTGTTAATCGCCGATTCATTTGAGTACCAGTCTTCTAGGAATTCTCTAACACTTTGGTGTTTCCTCTGTTTAACATTTCGACATTATCCCAATCAAATTGGTGACCATAATTATCTACATGCGTTGATATGAAAAAATATATGTCGTATCTTCTCACAGCTCATTTGTGTTCTTGGATTCTGATTCGAAAGGGACGCCTACCTTGACCGCTGTGTAATATGTGTTACCGTTCATACAATTTATTTTGTAAATGGTATTAATTTAATCTTCTTTTTCCGTTGGATCTTTCGGTTTGCACAATGTAGATTGAAGTGATTGAACTGGTTGGCTTGTGTGCGCTATATCTATTTCAAATGGTCTTAATATTCCAGCTGTTATTTAAGAGATATTTTTTTTATATATGGTAGAATGAATCTTCTTGTAGTCTTTGAGGATGGCTTCTTGTTGGTGTTGTGACTAGTACCACATTTACCAACTAATAAAATAGTGAATCACGTGACAAGAAGGTTCAAATTCCAGTTCAATAAAAAAAGTGATCAATACAGATGTAAACCGACTATTAATCACGAAGAGGGTTGCCAGGAAACACAATTATGTCATTCATGGAGAATTCAATTGGATTCATTTTACGCCAAAACTTGCACTGAAGATGTTGTTCAGAAGGACGACGAAAGCTTCGCAATTAAAACCACCAGCTCAGAGAACAAAACTAATTTCAAATCACCCACCTGAGCTACAAATCTTCTCTACTATTTAAAGCATGAACAGCTCTATTCATGAATATTATCATTGTTATTATATCCTCAGTTGTAATTGTTCACACATAGATCTCATACTGGTTGTCAGTAGTGCAGGTACCAGTGAATTTGTAGAGCTTTTAATCTTTGGATGCATTATTTTGTATCTTGTATAATGTATTTCCAAGTATCTGTGATAGCATTACGTAAACATGGAAATCAGTTTATGTCGTTATTTATATTCACTTATGAGGTATTTAAAACTATTCCGGTTTTTTTTGAAATAGTTTAAATTCACTGGAGATGAAGAACCTATGGATTCAGAAAGTAATAAGAAGATAAAATGTGAATCTGATGAAGAGTTAGCCAACTTGCGCGCATCTAAAGGTAAGAAATATTGTCTTCTCAATTTAATATCATATTATGCAGCCCTTGCTCTTTTTTTTCTGCTGTCTATCATATTGTATTACTGAGTGTAGAGTTACTGTTCATGATGTTACAGGACTGGACTACACTGACTCCTAGTTTAGAAATAGGGAGTGTGAAGTGGTAGAGAACGTTGACCGCTTCACTTATTTGGGAAGTACCATCAGCCAGTGCCAACGGGTTGATCTCTGACGAAATCTCAGCACGGATACAGAGGGCTAGTTTCGCATATGCCAGGTTACGCCGTCTGTGGCATAGACGTGATATCCGGCTATCGACCAAAGAGCGGGTATACTGCTCATCAGTCCGCTCCGTCCTCCTTTATGTCTGTGAGACCTGGCCACTGAGAGTGGAAGACATGAAAAGGCCGGCTAGTTGTTTGCGCTTCTATCTCCCGTGCGAAGTGGTATAATACGGTGAGCAATATTGAGTTGAGGCACCGGTCGAGTTCTTGGTAAGGAGGGGAAATCAACCGATGAAGCTGTGAAATTACATCGACTGAGGTTAGGACATGTGTTACGTATGTCTAGTCATCGCCTTCCTCGACCGACAGGGAATGTTAGCTGATATAGGGTCAGGCTGGAAAAGAGCTAGCGGCGGTCAAACCAAAACATGGCACCAGTCAATGAAATCCACAACAGTTAGTCTAAGCCGACCACGTAGGAAGGTGTAGACTTCCTGACTAGTTGGGGTCCTCGGGACGGTAAAAACCAATGGCTGGAGACAATTGGTAATATGGTTCAAAATCGTTCTCAATCGTTCTCAGATGGATCCACTCCTCGTGACTTATGATTTCAAATGAAACTATATCGTTCTTGCTTATTACCATTCCTTTGTCTCACGCATCTGTTTACTGTCTCTATTATGCATTTCTTCTACTTTGTTATCTTGCTTTGTGTGCTACAAGGAGGGAGTGTGGCGACTTGAACTGGCGCACATCGGTGCAAAGTTCTATGTCGAAAACAGACAGACAGACAATTCATGGAATGCTTATTCATAAAAACGTGACTATCAAGTGGTGGGACTCAATTGCCAAGACCTTCTCGATCTACATTTCGTGCGTATTGGCCTTCATCAGTATCAGTTAGGCACTGGGGTATATTCCTATTTTCCCTGGGAAATAAATCTTGCCTTTACGAAATAGCGGTAGGGTTTGTTTGTCATTGAAGTGAACAGTTAACCATTTTCGTGCGTCGAATTGTTTATGAATGTACAAGGGCAATTACGTGGAGAAAATTCTTAAGCAGGTATATTATCTCTTTCTCTCAAGAGTTAGTATGTAGGCATTTGATTTGTTTCAAGTTTGACGAGTTAGAGAATTCTTAGGCCATTAAGTCGGGTCTCAGCGGCTGAATTTTCTACGAGCTTTCTCTGTAATCGGAAGGTCCTGAGTTCGAACCGCGATGAATCCTGAACTAGGACGAAACAGCTGTCTGTTATTCCTTATTTTTCAATGGTTGTTTTACTGATATTGATCAGTGGTCACCTCAGTGCATTGTTCTATGCACACTTGGGTTCCCAATGCTACTAATTGGAATCTGCGAGGGAAATGGACAACGTAGAGTCACCAAGCCAGGTGAAACACTATTGTGGTTTGAAATACCAACGGTACAGATACATTCTACTGATAAATCTCAAGAAGCGTAAAACATGAGTCTAGGGCTTCCTGCCGATTGAATTTTTTTCGAATATGGGTACCTTTAATAGAAAACAAATTCCCCTTTTGTTGTTGTCTTAAGCTAAGCATGAAGTATATATATTTTTTACTTACCACTTAGTTATCAAATTTGTGCAAATTCGCGACCATGAAAGTAGCGGTGAAATTGAAGATGTTGAACAAATTGCCCCCCTTCAACAACGTTATGTTATTTGTCGGGGAAATAGTCCACAACCAAAGGTAAACATATTTTATTATCATATTAATAAAAATAATAATGATATTCTTTCAATATTCATGTTGCTGTGCTTTGTGAGAAAAAAACTTACATTCATCCAATCATAAATATCCTATTTGCGTATACATTAAGTGGAGTTTTCAAGTATTTTTATTCTCCACAGGCAAAGTTGCGTTGTTTTGTCCGAACTAATAAAAATCCTCAGTCAGTTTTCGATATAGAACTTTATACTGCAGCGGGATTACGTAATAACTTGCCAAGATATTTGGTTATAATTCACTTACTCTGAACGGGTTATTTTTCATGTGTTAGGCTCGGTTAGGCACCGCCACACAAAATTCCATGGTTTGTGCGAAGGCTGGGATATTATCGCTCTACCGAAGCAGGTCGTTGTCTTAAGAGGTCACTCTCAAGCCTTTGACCTGAAGTCAGATCCACCAGACAGAGGCGCAGTGTCAAGAGTTACTTTCCTTTGGTTTCCGGTAACCAAAACATGTTTGTGCGCCATTCGGTTTAATCGAAAACTGGGACTCATGTCCACCACAGATTTGGAATCAGTATTTCTCTAGGTAAACCAACATGTCTTGCAGTCCGATTGAAACCTCCAGACGTTCGCATTTTCCCTTTCACTGTTGTGGGGAATACGCTTCCGCTTGAAGATACATTGCATAGGGAAGCTATAGACGCGTGGCCAAAAGAGCATTTCCAGAGAGCGATTAAAGTCTACCCACTCTCGGTCATACCAAATCGTATATGGGGGGGAGGTAGTCTTCCAACGAAGTCGGTTAGAATCGTTGTTGAGTTATTTCTAATTTCTCCGACTACTTTCCCAATAACTTTTCCATATTAATGAGTATAAACTGTCAGATTTTCACTCAGGTATGCGGGGATATTTTCGCTAATGAATATTCATTTTCTTGTTTTACATGGGCTCATCGTATTTATTATATTTTCATATATTATTATTCTCTTGCAGAGATCTGGTAAATTCAAGCTGAAATTCAAGAAACTGTAGATTTGATTGTTAAGTTATTTATTTGTACATATGTTAGTTGATAAGTTATATTAATTACTTATATAAATAAATTTTTCTCAATAATTTACAGTTTTTTTAATCACAGGCTTGTCAGTTGAGAAAAATGATAACGTCTAAATAACTAACTGTGAAATCCACGTGTTAATTTTGATAGTGTTCACTTATTTAGAACAAGTTACCTGATTAGACTCATACAACAGTGTACATTAGCTCATATGTATTAGGATGTCGTTTCAGTATTATTATTATTATTGTCCCCTTGGGTTTCTAGTGGAACATAGGGCTTCAACTGCACATCTCCACTTGCTTCTGTCTTCCTTCTGCTGTACTTTTCACCTACCTCCATGTTAGTCCATACTCTTTCAACTCCTCTTCACACGATCTCCTCCATGTCACACTTGCACTGACGTCTCACTCGCCCCTTCCCTTTCGGCCTGGTTCCACTCGAGCGATGGCCTGACGCGCGCGTGATGTCACCCAGCGTCGGTCTCCTCAGCGAGTGTCCGATCCATCTCCACTTTTTCCTGCATATTTGTCGCTTGGCAATTGGTTCTTTTTTTGTTCCCATAGTTTCTTGTTGGTGATTCTTTCCGGTCCGGTCATCTGATCTTTAGTATAGAGCCAGCGAAGACAGGTGTTGGTTGATAAAGGTCTGCAACAGGCTGTAGGAAATATTCTTTGTGACCCGTCCGCCAAGTTTTTTATCCGTATAGAAGAACTGACTGACTTGACATTTGTATTGAAAATCTGACGGAATTTTGTTGTTGATGGTGGCTGAGTGACGAATATTTCCAGATTGGTTTCAGGTTGATGTCAATGTGTTTCTCGCCTTCCCGATTCTCGACTTGAAATCCTTGTCCTTTCCTCCTGTAGTTGAGACAATGCTCCGTAGATAAGTGAATGAAGTAACCTCTTTCAAATCCCTCCCGTTGATGGTGATTGGCGCTGCATGTTGCTGTTGTTGTTGGTTGGTTATTTTCATAACCTCCGTCTTGTCTATGTTCACTTAGAGGTCCTGTCTTAGGTTTCAGTATAGGTGTTACAAATTGTCCGTATTAGATGAGTTTATTTGATATGACGTACATTGATGCCGTATTAATAACAGGATGACGTTTCGAGTACAATTTTGTTGCTTATAGTTATATCAATTTATTCACACAGCTTCATAATTTATATATATATATATATATATATATATGTCCCCTGTTATTTGTTACAATTTCCCATATTTCCGGTATAGGCGTTGCGTAATTTCGATTTCATGTATTCGGTGTTTATTCGATAAACAAAGATTCGGTGTTTAACGTTTCTCTCCGCCTAGTTTTATTACTTTTATCCAGTCCCGCCCTATTTTGTGATTACATGCAAGTGAATGCAGTTGCAGAGCTGCTTTATAGGTTATTTAACGTAGCAGAGTCAATCATTTTAGGTGGAGATAAATTCCTCTGTCCCGATAAGTCTAACTGACTCCGATCTACTAGGTTGACCTATTTAATTGACCTCACAGTCATTATATAGAATTTGGTGAATTATATTATTTTTCTTAATTGGATCTATCGGGTCCTTAGGCTGGCAGAGTGTATCTCTGAGATGGTCGGTTGGTTAGTTTAAATGCCAACCTAATTCCAGCTTCATTAAGGATCCTACGTAAAGCCTCTGATGTTCTTCCTTTATACGGCAGTACGGTCCTACTTCTATAATCTGGAATTACACTCTACCATAGTGCCCAAGTTCTACACTTACATTGTTATTATTATTTCTTTGGGTTCCGGGTGGAAAATACGGCTTCGCCTGCACATCTCCATTTCATCCTGTTATCTGCACCCTGCTTTAACTGGCCCCAAAATTGTTCATAAACTTCCATCTCCTCGATATCACCCCAGGATCGATGCCCAATTCGCGTTTCACTTGAGAGCCTGGTGCATGAGGTTACTCATCTGTCCCTTGAACATGTGTCCGGTCCATCTCCATTCCTCCCGCATGTTTATTGAGCGATAGGTTTTTGGTTGGTTTGTTACCAGTTCTCCTTGTTCGCCATCTGATCTTCAGTGTGCAGCGAAGGCAGTTGTTGATAAAAGTTCGAAGCCTGTTAGGAATGCTTTTCATAATACACCAAATTTCTGACCCATATAGAAGAACTGATTCAGTTGACATTAAGTGTTGAAAATCCGAACTTTATTCTTTACGCTGAGTGAAGTAGATTTCCACACTGATTTCAGAGTAATCAAGGCCTGATTGCCTTTGTGATTCTGTTTTTGATATCTTCATTCATACCACCGCCTGTAGCTGGAAGGATGCTGTCTAGATAAGTGAAGGAAGTGACAGACTTATATTAAGGCTAAAAATTGTCGTTCACCTAAGCGTGTCGGTATGACAGTTATAGTTCATTTTTGGTTGTAAAGTATTTACTAAGCATTGGCTACATGATATCAACTGTCTTCAGACTAAATGTGACCCCAAGCCCCTTTATAATGAGTATTGGTCATGCTCAGGTGTGTGTTCAGTTACTTCCTAGATAGATATACATACATACCTTATGTCCTTTTAAAAAGGTGAGCATGTAAGGACTTTCCATTTGCTTGTTTGTTTTACGTCAGTTCAGTCACTGGGATACACACGTACTGGCTAATGCATGATCGCAGCCCACACAGGTGTTACCGGAGAGGCAACCTTTTGCTGGTCCTGCCTATCAGTAACTTAAAACTGGGTGCTCTGTTTCTCTCCACTGTTGCGTTGATATCTGCGGCTGTCATGTGTGAGACCGTGTTTCACGCCATTTTTCAATTAGTGCTGATCCGGAATAGGTACTTGACTGAACAAGATTATTAAAAGAAGATCCGTCGACATGGGACTTTGAAGATACTCCATTTGGCTTAATGTCTTTACGTGAGTATTAAAATCACCTGTTCAGATGATTTTATGTAACTTTTTCGCTGTTGACAGCAAACTTAACAGCTGTTGAAATTCATTTTTACTTCCTCTGAACTGCAGCTATTTGATGCGTCAGCAGCATTGACGAATATTGTGATCTTTTATTTCCCAGTCAGATAGGACACAATTGTTCACTGACACTCACTCTCGAGTTCATTAATATGCCAACAAGTCAGTGAGAAGTGTCTACAGTATTCTTTGACACCCAAGGTGTGAATTTTGTAAGCTCATCATGTTGATCAACTGGGGTAAATGAAAAACCACAGTTTTATGTGCGTATCTCTCTCAAGGGCACAATATACACCTAAAAACTGAAATATTAGAGTTGTCCAATTCAACATAACGCCTGTACATTGAAAGCTCCAAAGTGATGTTGGCAGTCAGGTTTGGAGAAAATTAGAACGGCTGTTCTCTCCAGCTAAAGTTGTTAACAGTGCTCACAATGTGACGAAAATGTCTAGGAAATAGTGTATAGAGAATTCTGTATGCATATGTAAGTATATGTACTTCCCGTACTCCCACACCGTGGAAATCAATTTTTTCAAGTGCATGAAGGAGAAAAAGCAGTGATATTGTGTAATCACAAAGGGCAGGTTAGTCAGGAACTTCCGTCGAACAAAGGGTTATGTACAGCCGAAGTGAGTGATGTTTAACTTTTGGGACCGATTTCTCAACTCCTAATGGCTGTTTCACATGGGTAACACTTTATTTATGCCACACTCTTACCGATAGTATGACTTTGTCCTAGAACGTTCCCCCCGGCAAGCGAATAAGCAACTCATACTACGATGGTAACTACTTTAGTTTATCCATTATCTAAAAGATTTTTCCGGCACGCCGAGACCTACGGTCAGCATAGCTCATCAGGTTATCGCCAAATGCAAGCCCAATCACCATGCCAAGATGGGAGGCATCGAACTGATGCCTGCGATTAAAACAGACTTCTGTGCCTAATAATTAATTTGGGCAGTAGGATCAATTCCTCTAGGATTAGATTTTTCAACATAAACTGACACAGGTGAAAAACCCATAAAATAATGGGGATCACTGTAGTGTATCTGTGATTCCTCTGTAGTAAGCACCAAGGACCCTGTACAGGATAGAGTTCACAGCTATCAAACTTCACTATACGAACACAAACATAGAATTCCCTGTGCCACGTACTCCAAACTGAGAAGTATCCGGGAAGACAAACCAACGTCTATCCTTGCATGTTTGTATATAAGCAAATCAATCTAAATTGACACGTACATTCTTTTATAATGAATTATAGAAACAGTGGCAACTGTTAGCGTTTCAGATTTCTTACTCAATAACTTATAAATCTGTTTTACTATGATTGATTTTTAGTTGCCACCGCTATGCTTACTATCTTAAGGATTGCAGATTATTCTAGCAGGATTGACCAGAGGTCTATTGACACTTTTCTCTTTCACTTTAATCCCAATCCAGATGGCAGTTATCATTGGATAAGATTACACATGGGAATATTCAAATAGTGTGATGTGATAATCATAATCGATTTAAGCTTTAAAAACTTCCAGATCAATCATGCCTCCTTGCAAAACATTATACATTTAATTGGTGTATGGTGACTAACAGTGGAATCCAGGATAACGCGCATTTCGTCCTGTTTGGGACTCGTCATCTGGATGTATCTGCATTCCCCCTGTCAGTGAGTGATGATGTTCTCACCGAGGCTTGAACCCATTGCCCATCTGAGGCCGAGCACTTCAGTCCAATGAATTGACGGGAAGATCTAAAATTCAATTAAATTAATATGACCCGTTGCACAAGAGATGGCTCTCGTGGCCCAAGTGGTCTAGTGGATAGTGCTTTGGCGTTTGGAACTGTGGGCACTGGGTTCGAGCCCCGGTGGGAACATCATCACACACTGGCTGGGGAACGCAGGTACATCCATATGACGAGTTCCGAACAGGACGAAATGCACGTTAACCTGGATTCCACTGCTAGTAACCATCCACCAATTAAATTCTAATTACATGCCCAGACATCGTCGAAGCATCTGCACAAGAAGTCGACATGTC